CCTGTAGTCCGGGGCGCTGTCCCGGTAGCCCAGTCGTAGCCAGCTGTGCCAGCCGCCCGTGGGTCCGTTGCCCGTCCGCCGCTATTTGAGCCGCGGGGCCTGTTACTCCTGTAGTCCGGGCGCTGTCCGGTAGCCGCTGTGCCAGTGTGCCTCCTGTTGCCCGTGTGCCTGCAGCTTCAGCCGTCGCCTCCTATCTCCTCTCCCCTCACTCTCTCTCCTCCTCCTCACTTGCCCGTTGTGACTACCACTAGCTCTGCTCATAATTGTGAACTCTAAACTATCTCTTCTTGAACTTGTGCTCAGAATGTGTGGTGACATTGTGATCCACCCTGAGCTTGTAGTACTTTGCCTGCTCTGCTGATTACACCCCACTTTGGCTATGGGGGTGTGTCAGAATATTATTCTTATGTTCTAGCCTGTAGTGAGGTGCTCTATAGCGAGTACAACCCTTCTAGGATTTGCTATTTGTATCCCCATTTCTGCTAGTTCATTCCTCTTTCTTTCTTCTAATTTTGTCACGTCTCTTCATCGTTAGTTTCTCGTCTCCATCTCGAAGCAGATTCAGCAGTCAACTTCAAGGACGCTCGCATGGTAGATGGGACGCCACTTCACATAGGACCGATCATCCGCAAGTTGCGCGTAGTGCTAGGACCGATCACAGTCAGGCGTGATTTCGACTCTGCGACGCTGGACGGATACGATTTTATCTTCGGGAGAGATTGGCTACGGACGGTTAACACTCAGTTCGATTGGGCTCAGGGAAGCTGCAGCGTCAAGGTAGACGGGGAGTTCCGGGAGCTGCCACAGTGGAGCGATGGGGCCACATCATCCACAGCTATCATTAATGCTGTTCGTGTGCGACAGTTAGTGAAGCGTGCGGCACGGATCTTCGCGGTTTTTCTTGAGGAGGTGGAAGCTGAGGAGGGGAAAGGAGGGAGTGCAGCAGTTAGTGAGAAGGCGACTCTTCCTGCTGAGGTGAGTGCACTGTTAGCAGAGTTCGCAGACGTCTTCCCCGACGAGTTGCCCCCAGGGTTGCCTCCCAGCCGAGCAGTAGACCATCGAATAGAATTGGAGCCGGGGAGCAGGCCAGTAGCGAAGCCGCAGTGGAGGTTGAGTCCAGCGGAAACAGAGGAGATGAAGCAGCAAGTTAGGCACTTTCTCGCACAGGGTTTCATACAGCCATCTAGATCGCCTTGGGCCGCACCGATACTTTTCGCACCCAAGAAAGACGGAGGGTTACGGATGTGCATAGATTACCGCGCACTGAACGCCGCCACCGTCAAGAATAGATTCCCGGTGCCGAGAGTAGAGGATCTTCTCGATGCAGTGCAGGGCGCTAGAGTCTTCTCAAAGATCGACCTTCGTTCGGGTTACCACCAGATTCGAGTAGTTCCAGGGGACCAGCACAAGACGGCGTTTCGTACGAAGCAGGGGTTGTACGAGTTTAGGGTTCTACCGTTCGGATTGACCAACGCCCCAGCGACGTTTCAGACGCTCATGAACACAGTCCTCTCCGAGTTCCTAGGGTCGTTCGTTGTCGTTTACCTAGACGACATCCTAGTGTTCTCTAAGACGAAAGATGAGCACGTGCAGCACTTGCAGAAGGTCTTCGAGGTCTTACGGAGGGAGCAGTTATACGCTAAGCAGTCGAAGTGCGAGTTCTTCTTTCCAGAGGTCGAGTTCCTAGGACACGTCGTATCCGCTAGTGGCATTAGGACTGACCCAAAGAAGATCGCAGCAGTACAGGATTGGGTAGCACCGACCTCAGTCAAGGAGTTGCAGAGCTTCCTTGGTTTCGCGAACTACTACCGTCGTTTCGTTCAGGGTTACGCATCGATCGCTAGTCCACTCACCGACCTACTTCGGAAGGGCGTAGAGTACGTTTGGGGTCCAGCGCAGCAGCAGGCGTTCGAGCAGATGAAGTAGTCGCTCACGTCCTCACCGACACTGTCGTACCCTGATCCCACTCGCCCATACGTTGTAGTGACCGACGCTTCCGATCAGGCCATAGGAGCAGTGCTTCTTCAGGACCAGGGACGCGGGTTGCAGCCGATCGCGTACGAGTCGCGTAAGCTTAGGGGAGCGGAGTTGAACTATCCCATACACGACAAGGAGGCGCTCGCGATCATCCATGCGTATAAGGTGTGGAGGTGCTACCTAGAGGGGGCAGATAGTGTTATACGCACGGACCACTGTTCGCTTCGTTTCCTCAAGTCGCAGCCGCAGCTGAGTCGTCGCCAGGCTAGGTGGATGGAGTTCATGGAAGGGAGCTTTCACTACAGGATAGAGTACAAGCCAGGCGTGCGCAACCCAGCAGATCCGCTCACTCGCCCTAGTTGTCAGCTCGCCAGTCTCACAGTCACTGCTGGCCACCCACTTCTCACAGCACTCTTCGAGCACGGTTACACAGTAGATCCCGACTTCACACCGCAGCCGCCCGCAGGAGCAGAGGTGCAGGGTAGTGTCTACATACGGAAGGGTACCACACGGATTTGGGTTCCAGCCTACCGCCCTCTTCGACAGCTCCTTCTCTCAGAGGCGCACGACGTAGTTAGTGCAGGGCACTTCGGAGCAGATAAGACGGCTAAGACGCTTAGTCGCACGTACTACTGGCCCGGGCTTGCAGCAGACGTAGAGGATTATATTCGCTCGTGCGACACGTGTCAGCGTACGAAGTCCTCTCGCCAGCGCAAAGCAGGACTCTTGCAGCCGATTCCACCGCCCGACCGCCCTTGGCAGGTAGTTACCATGGACTTCATCATGGCTTTACCGCGCACAGTTAGGGGTCACGACGCCATCTTCGTAGTAGTGGATAAGTTTTCTCGAGCAGCGCATTTCATCCCCACGCACGGCAAGGTCACAGCAGAGGAAGCCGCGACGCTGTTCATAGATAACGTAGTCCGACTGCACGGGGTTCCAGATTCCATCATCTCAGACCGCGACCCTCGTTTCACTTCGAAGTTCTGGAAGCAGCTTTTCGCACTGTTTGGGACTCGCTTAGCCATGTCGTCTGCGTACCACCCAGAGACAGACGGACAGACCGAGCGTGTGAACCAGACCTTGGAGCAGATCCTTCGCAGCATCACGATGCACGACGCAGCCGCATGGGACAAGAAGCTGAGCATGGCAGAGTTCGCCTACAACAACACGCACCACTCCGCCACAGGCATGTCACCGTTCTTTGCACTTTACGGTCAGCACCCCAATGTCCCCACTCGTGTCGATCTCACACCCACAGTCCCTCGTGCGAACAACTTCCACCAGCATCTCACCTTCATTCATGATCACGTGAGGAAGCACCTTGAGCTCACAAATGCACGCATGGCACGCACCACCAACCGCAGTCGTCGTGAGGTGTCGTTCGCAGTCGGCGACCGTGTTCTCTTGGATAGCCGCAACCTCCGACTGCCACAGGACAGCAAGCTTCGTCCATGTTTCATTGGTCCATTCGTCATTGAGCGCGCACTAGATCCAGTCGCATACCGCCTTCGCCTTCCCGCACATTTCCGCATGCACCCGTCATTCCACGTGTCTCTCCTTCGCCCATACACCGATCCCAATGCCACCTTCTCGGGCCGTGATCGCACTCCACTGCCGGTAGCTGTTGACACCGACGAGCCCGACTACCAGATCCAGCGCATCCTCAGGCACCGTCGCCGTCTCCAGGGGGGTGTCACTTTCATCGACTTCTTGGTTCGTTGGCGTGGTTACGACGCAGCAGACGACAGCTGGGTTCCTTCATCCTCGCTGTCTCCTGACAACGCTTGCCTCCAAGCGTACCTTCAGTCTGCAGGCGCCGCGGACGTCGCCTCCTTGGGCGGGGGGTAGTGTTAGAGGGGTGTTTACTGTTCATTCGGAACAGTACATTCCTAGTCACCATTATCCTTATCTTCTCAGATTCTCTAGTGCCACGTGGCACTCTACTTTTCTTGCACTCCAATTCTTGGTCCCACATTCCACTTTCCAACCTTGTTTCTTGCATGCTATATAAACCTTGCTTGTGCTTGCCATTATCAATCAATTCCCATTCAACTCTTCTTCAATTACTCAGTAACTTCTTCGCCTATTTCGCCAATAGTTCTTTCGCCAAAGTCTTCCGCCGCGTTTCATCCTCGACTTAGTCGACCCCGCTAATTCTTTAGCGGACTTAGGCCGTCGGGCCTAACAAAATCCGTTTCTGGCGGTGTATATTGGTTTCTTATACAGAATAGTATTCGGTTTTGTCTCATGGATTCGTCAACCTTCTAACAAGGGTGGGTGTTGAGAGGTTTGGGGAAACGGAACTCCTCATACCAGGGCTCAAATTATGAAAACAATTTGAAGTATTTTTAAATCGATTTGTAAGGGGTTTCATCTAATAATGCACTGAAATTGCTAATAGTTTAGCTTACCTGATATAATATATTAGATTGTAGTCTGAATATAAACTGTTAATAGCGGAGAAGCTCGTGGCTCGTAAATGGTTTGTCCACAAACGAAACGAGCGGTTTGGCTAGCGAGGGGGGTGTTGTCAGACAATCGCAGACCGCGGGCATGAAGAACGACACTCGCAGCTGCTCGCTTGGGCGAGGCGACGGTATTGGTGTTTCAATTCGCGACAGTGAAAGACGTCGTAAGCAGGCAAACGTCTTTCCCGCTTCTGGTGGTTCCCCTTCCCCCTCATTTCTTTTCATGTCTACCAATTCGATCCATGTTCTTCTGCCTGAATTCGCCTGTCAGTGAAATTCTCCACAGGTCCGTTAGTTCAGTTCCGTCAGCTTAGCATCCTAAACCATAGCCATTGCCGGCCAGCAGCCTGAAACGGAGGTGTTCTTATCTCTTGTCATCACGCCTTTCGAGTCTTTTCTCTTTCTGGGCTTGTAAGCAGGCTGAATCTGAACTTCTAACACAGGGTAGTCATGGCGAAAAGGTTTGACCTCGATGGCAAGGAGATCGCACCCATCAGGATGTGCATTATAGGAGCAGCTGGTTTCATCGGATCGCACCTATGCGAAGCTTTGATGTGGGAGACCAACCATGTAGTGGTGGCGGTTGATATGTACAATGACAAGATCGAGCACCTGCTCGGTGATTCTCATCCATGGAGCGGCCGTATGGAGTTTCACCAGTTTAACATCAGCAATGATCCGCGTCTTGAAGGCATTATCAAGTCATGTGACTTGGTGGGTCTTGCTACTCTATATGCAACAAATGCTCGATGTTACCCACCCAAAACGCCTCATTAAGCCTTGAGAACTTGAGCACTAACGACGAGAATTCTTCGTGCAGACGGTTAATTTGGCTGCCATCTGTACTCCAGCGGATTACAACACAAGGCCGCTGGATACTATTTACAGCAACTTCGTCGATGCTCTCCCCGTGGTTAGTTTGTCTTCCAATCACAATGTACAGACAATTTGATTTCTCTAGCGTGACGTAACATAATGGATCCTCTTTTCAGGCCAAGTTCTGCTCAGATTTCAAAAGAAGACTGATCCATTTCTCCACCTGTGAGGTCTATGGCAAGACGGTTGGAGCATTTTTGCCTCCTGACAGCAACATGCGCAATGTAAGAGCCTCCCTTTCAAGGTCTGTCCTTAAGCTCAAACGAGTGCCTGACGAGATTTTTCTTTGCTCTGAACGTAACAGGATCCCCAGTATTATGTGCTGAAAGAAGACGAAACGCCTTGCATTTTCGGCCCTGTGCAAAAGCAACGGTGGTCATACGCTTGTGCAAAGCAGCTCATTGAGCGGGTCATCTATGGTGAGCTGTGCACACCACTTCAGTTTGCTCATTTGGTGGCCTTGTTGTAACACTGGGACTAAATGGCAAATTGTGTGCTGTGCTACAGCTGAAGGGGCTGAAAATGATCTCAAATTCACCATCGTCCGCCCGTTCAACTGGATTGGTCCCCGCATGGATTTTATCCCGGGAATCGATGGCCCCAAGGATGGTGTACCCCGCGTTCTTGCTTGCTTCAGCAATGTAGGTCTTGGAGGTTTTGTAGACCGTGCTCCACTTTCGGTGCTCTTTGTCATCTCTGAGCTTGCTTGCTGTCGCCATGCAGCAACTTTTGCGGGGAGAACCGCTGAAGCTGGTTGATGGTGGGAAGTCACAACGGACCTTTGTGTACATCAAGGATGCAATCCGAGCCGTGATGCTTATGATCGTACGTCCACGCGGTGCTTTTGATTTTGTTTGCTTTTGCGTTCGCTTTTGCTTCTTGCTCAGCATGCTGACAGAGTTAATGTGTTGCAGGAAAACCCAGAGCGAGCAAATGGACACATTTTCAATGTTGGGAACCCCAAGAACGAAGCTTCTGTTCGTGAACTGGCCACGATGATGACAAGGGTATGTCAGATGGCTGAAGTAGTCTATGAATGATTTCGTCGTTTGTCTCTAATGGCTGCTCATCTCATGTGATGCAGATCTACTGCAAAGTGAGCAAGCAATCAGAGCCTGCAACACCCACAGTTGACGTTACATCAAGCGACTTCTATGGAAAGGGTTATGACGACAGTGACCGCCGAATTCCAGACATGACGCTTATTCAGCAGCAGCTGGGTGAGTCTCCTCCCAATGTGTGTGTCATGGTAAATATTGTTGTGGCGTGACAACTTAACAGGCTGGAATCGTACCTTGCAGGTTGGGAGCCAGAGACTTCCTTGGAAGAGTTGTTGGATGTGACCTTGACATACCAGTACAGCACATACGCTGAGGCTATTCGACGGTCGATGGCGCAGACAACTGCAGCAACCTGAACCTGAGGAGACAATAGGACCAGGGTTGCCAGCAGCTCCAGGCCATAACTTAATCAAGCTGTAGTTTAGGGGTGCCAGCAGCTCCAGGCCATAACTTAATCAGGCTGTAGTTTAGCACTGAACATTGAAGCATCGTGGTTAGCAATATGGCATTGGCCTTTTATTTGGTCGGATGTAGCTCTTTGTTCTTTGTAGGCTTCGGCAGAAATTGCCCATCTATTGGAGTTAGTGTACTACTCTTATGATCTACAACAAATCTTCAGCTGAGAAAGCTGACAGGATGCAATACATAACCGGCGACCCAAGTTTTCCGTTCCGCAGTTCTAATCAATTTCCACACCAGATCCCTTTCCACCTCGTTTTCCTCTCCTTGCCACATCGTTCTCCGTATTGCAGACCAGTCACCAACAGCTGTCCATGCGACTACTCCACATCCTGCGGGATCGAGGCGCGAGTCAGATCTTGCGACGATAATACTGCGAGTCAGGTCCCATGGCTGGACCAGAAGGATCAAACACAGAGGAGAGCTCTCCGTTCATTAACATCCACTCGCGGGGAACCTCCTCACATCCGCCACTTCACGCTCCACCTGTCCACCGACCCTCATCACCCAATTCTCGAGACTCGTTTTTCTCCCTGCCATTCTCCTCGTTATCCACCACATTCTCGATCTCTCCAATCCGACGGCGAGAATGGGCTGTATTTTTCCGCCAGCTACTAGACCGGCGTTGGTGGGAGTCCGTTTCTCGTCATTTGCGTAACAATCCTCGCGAGTTCATCGCATCTGCATTCGCTACTAGCGACGGCTGGTTTCCCGGAGCGAAGCCGTATCTCGCCGCCCTCCTGATCATCCTCGTTATTATCACGCCGCTATGGCTAGTCTCTAGCATATCAGGAGCGAGTGTATATCTTTCGGAAGAAAATGCGGGATCAGATGGAAATTTGCGAGGGGAATGGAACACCAAGGGGGGACGGGATGGACTGGATGCCGTCTTGTGCCATGCAGAGGCGGTATACCGGGTGAGCCAATAAGATGCTTCTTTAGTTGACTCAAAAGTCACCTCGGGTGGGATTATGCGAGGGGAATGGAACACCAAGGCGGTGCGGGATGGACTGGATGCCATCTTGTGCCATGCAGAGGCGGTTTACCAGGTGAGCCAATGGGATGACTTTTGAATCGATGAATAGACAGATTCAGTGTGGGGAGAGAGCGCATAAGTTTTTGATGGAGTGAGCTCTCTTTCATGGCATGCGGAGGAAGCATACTGGGTGAGTCGATGGGTTGTGTGACTGTCATTTAGGCCAACATGGTCAGCAGAATGGCTTCACTAGGGTGGTATCTACAGCCCATGCTGATTGAAAATAGTTTATTTCTTAGTAGTAGGTACAAAAACTTGTGGATATTTTCTTTCCACCACATGTTCATGCGAGTACTGATTCCCAAATATCCCCACTCTCCCCCTCTTCATATCCCTGTGCTTCCCCTCCACATCCTGACATGCTTCTTTTCCCTCTTCCTCCTTCCCCATTCCCTCTCTCCCCACCACCTACAGGCCAACATGGCCAACAGAAAGGCGTCTCTTGGAGGACATCTGCAGCCCATGCTGAAGGATTTCCACCACATGCGCATGCACGTGCCCCTCCTCTCTCCCCACCTTCCCTCCCCCCCACCACGTCCCACTCTCACCACTCCAGGCCAACATGGCCAACAGAAAGGCGTCTTTAGGGGGCCACCTACAGCCCATGCTGAAGGATTTCCACCACATGCGCATGCGCGTGCTCCCCTTCCCTCTCCCTCTTCTCTTCTTCCCACAAATCTCCCTCTCTCACCACCTTCAGGCCAACATGGCCAACCGAAAGGTGTCCCTAGGGGGGCACCTACAGCCCATGCTGAAGGACTTTCACCACATGCGCATGCGCGTCCCCCTCCTCTCTCCCCACCTTCCCTCCCCTCCACCACGTCCCACTCTCACCCCTACAGGCCAACATGGCCAACAGAAAGGCGTCTTTAGGGGGCCACCTACAACCCATGCTGAAGGATTTCCACCACATGCGCATGCACGTGCCCCTCCTCTCTCCCCACCTTCCCTCCCCCCCACCACGTCCCATTCTCACCACTCCAGGCCAACATGGCCAACAGAAAGGCGTCTTTAGGGGGCCATTTACAACCCATGCTGAAGGATTTCCACCACATGCGCATGCGCGTGCTCATTCCCACGTACCCCTGCCCCTATGAGGAGAGGGTGGGGGCGTGGGGCGTGGGAGGGAAGGTGCGCATTGGGGGGGGGGGGGGGGCTAGGGTTTAAGGGGAAGGAAAGGTGTATGGTGATAAGGAAATGGGAAGAATCAGGGGGACTTGTGTCACATGCGCTTGTGCGTGCTCTTTCCCACTCCTTAACCCAATAAGAAGAGGTCCCACCTACCTATTTATAATTATGCCTATCTCATTCTTAAACCCTTCCCTCTCATTCTCATGTCCTTCTTTCACACACACCCTCCCTCTAAACTTCCCTTCCTGCTTCCCTTCCGTCTCCAGTGGGTGTGACTGATATCATTGAAATGCCATTTCTTCCTGCCCCCTCTCCCTCCCATCCTTCCATCCCTCTCCCGTTCCCCCCCGTCCCTCTCCCCTTCCTTCCCCTCCTTCCCTCCTTCCCTCCCTCTCAGTGGGTATGCCTGATTCCAACTGCAGTTCAAGCCAAGCCAGTTGTCTACAGGTGAGCCCTCAAAAAAGAGTCACTTGTTTTTACCTGTGTTTTCTAAGTGTCTAGCATACAAATGCAGACGTAGCACATCATGTTAGATGTTCGCCTACAGAAGCACATGGATCTAACCCCTCAAAGCTGGGTTGCGCTTCGCGTACTACCCTCAGTTTCACGTTCCACGTCTATCGCTCCCAGCCCTACATGCTCGACCCCTTCACCTCCCTTCTTCAAGCCCCGAGTCTCCCTCTCCCACCTGCTCCCTCGCCCACTCTCCTGCCACCGCTCTCCCCAGTGTGGGCAGTGACGAGGAGTATTCATTCAAAGAGTCCATGTTCCGCCACTTCCGCTCGCAGTCCTTCATGCTCGGCCCCTTCCTCTTCCCCCTTCAAGCCTCAAGCCACCTTCCCTCCCTCTCTCCCCTGCTTTCCCCCACGCCCGCTCCCCTGTTTTCCTCCCTCCCTCCCCTCTTCCCCCTTGTCCCCCCTCTCATTTTCCCCATTCTCTCCCCAGTGTGGGCAGTGACGAACAGTATTCATTCGAGGAGTCCATGTTCCACTCCTCAAACCTGCATACCCCCCTTATTCCCCCACTCGCCTTTCTTTTCTCCTCTCTCCTGCAACCTCGTCCTCCCTCTCCCCAGTGTGGGCAGTGACGAGGAGTATTCATTCGAAGAGTCCATGTTCCGCCACTACCGCTCGCAGCCCTACACTCTCCACCCCTTCCTTACCCTACCCTCTGTTTGACCCCCACTGCAACCCCCTCACACCCCTCTCCCCAGTGTGGGCAGTGACAAAAAGTATTCATTCGAAGAGTCAATGTTCCGCCACTACTGCTTGCAGCCCTACACGCTCCACCCCTTCCTGTCCCCTCCTCAAGCCTCACGCCTCCTCTCACCCTCTCCCCTGCCCCTCTCCCTCTCCTCCCCTCCTCCCCCCACGCTACCTCTCCCCAGTGTGGGCAGCGACGAGGAGTACTCTTTTGAAGAGTCAATGTTCCGCCACTACCGCTCGCAGCCCTACACGCTCGACCCCTTCCTCTCCCCGCAAGCCCAGGCGCGCATGCAGCTGCTGCGCTTCCTGCACTTTCACTCGCTGGGGCTGGCTGGGAAAGCATCGTTAGGCGACTACCAAAAATGGAACCCGAATGTGACTTTCCGCACGCTGCCTGAATTGATGCAGGTAGGTGGGGAGGGCGGAGGACGGAAAGTGCGAGGGGAGCGAGGGAAGAGAGGGGAGGGAGAGGAAAGGGGAAAGAATGGAGAGAGAGAGAGAGAGAGAGAGAGAGAGAGAGAGAGAGAGAGAGAGAGAGAGAGAGAGAGAGAGAGAGAGAGAGAGAGAGAGAGAGAGTGGGTTGATGACTGCAAGCCGGTTTTTGAGAATTCTCAAAAACCAGAAAGAATGGAGAGAGAGAGATTGGGGTGATGACTGCAAGCCGGTTTTTGAGAATTCTCAAAAACCAGTAAGAATGGAGAGAGAGAGATTGGGGTGATGACTGCAAGCCGGTTTTCGAGAATTCTCAAAAACCAGAAAGAATGGAGAGCGAGAGATTGGGGTGATGACTGCAAGCCCAGGCGTGCATGCAGCTGCTGCGCTTCCTGCACTTCCATTCTGTGGGGCTCTCTGGAAGGGCATCGTTGGGCGACTACCAGAAGTGGAACCCGAATGTCACGTTCCATACAATGCCCGAACTTCTGCAGGCAGAACGGGGAGGGATGGGGAGGAGGGAGCGAGGGAAGAGAGAGGCTGGAAAGAGGGGCAAGAGGGGAGGTGAAGTAGGTGATGAGGACAGGGTAGGCAGGGACTGCAAGCCCAGGCGCGCATGCAGCTGCTGCGCTTCCTGCACTTCCACTCCGTAGGGCTGGCTGGAAGGGCGTTGTTGGGCGACCTTAGAAGTGGAACCGGGATGTGACGTTCCGCCTTCTGACCAACAGGATCTCAACCATACATACATCGGCATTCTAATGTGAGGAGGAGGTGATATTTGACACTTTTCTTGCTCTACATCCCAACACCCCTCTGGTGCCTCTCCCCTTACAGGATCTCAACCACGGCATCTTCTTACATCGGCATTCTGAAGCTCAGCTGCGGGGGGTGCGAGGAGGAGGAAGTCAAATGAGGTCATTTTCTATTACTATCTATGGTGTCTGTCCCAACACCGCCCTGTTGCCTCCCTCCCTACAGGATCTCAACCACACATACATCGGCATTTTGACGCTCAGCTGTGGGGGGTGCGAGCAGGAGGGTGATATTCTAACATGTTCTCTTGCTGAACATTCCACCACCCTCCCGCTCTTCCTCCCTCCCTACAGGATCTCAACCACTCGTACATCTGCATTCTGAAGCTCAGTTGCGGAGGGTGTGAGAAGGAGGTGATATTCGACATGCTCTTTCGTTGAACATCCCAACATCCCCTTCCTCGACCACCCATATGACAGGATCTCAACCACACATACGTCGACATTCTGAAGCTCAGCTGTGGGGGTTGTGAGGAGGAGGTGATATTTGATGTGTATGAGGGCAGTGTGAATGGGACTGCAGGGGGAGCAGGGAGGGGAATGCGGGAGAAGGTAGATCAGTTCCGGTCATTAGAAGAAGCAGCAGAACCAGCAGCACCAGCAGCACCAGCAGAACTAGCAGCACCAGCAGATGCAGCTGCAGCAGGAGAAACAGCTGCAGGTACTGGTGCAGCCGAACCAGCAGGTGCAATTGCCGAACCAACAGCTGCAGTTGCCGAACCAGGAGGCGCGGGTGCCGAACCTGAAGGTGCCAGTGGCAGTGGTAGTGGGGGAGTGAGGAACTATGAGGAGGGGAGGGAAGATGCAGTGGACCCTTCTGTTGGTGCTCGACTGGCCATCAACGGAGGGAAGCTTCCTTTTGGACAACTCGTTGTCGACTTTCATGAGTAAGCCTTGATGCTTTATCAGCTATATATATACCGGTATACATATATATAACAATTGGTAAGTGGTTTACATGGTTTATGTTGTTATGTGTACACCCTTGTCCTCTGGATGCAGGGCTGATGAGCCTCAAGAGCTTCTTTCCTTAGTGTATTCTTTGGAGACAGTTGGATATCGGATGTTCCACATCGAGGATAATCCTTTATGTGACCTATGCATTACAGGTAGCTTCATTCATGAAAGCTTGGTACAACCCCATGAATGGGCTAAATGCAACTCTGGATGAGGATAACAGCAACCATCAATAGTAATTATCATGGCTAAGCATTTTTCCTTGTCAGCGGAACATGGACAGCATGTTCATCAAGACAAAGTGGTTCTTCTCTTAGTAAACCTAAGCCGCCACTGCTCAGTTGACTTCACCAAGTAGATCTGATGAGGACTGTCAAGTTGATACGGTAGGAAGGAAATGAGAAGCGGTTTAGGCGTGTGAAATAATGTAGTTGCATATGCATTTGTTCCTGCATTCCTGTCACCCTTAGCTGTATCGGAATCTGGATATCGCCAACTTCACTAAGAAACTGACCAATCAACAGCCCTGATTTTTGTGTTTGATTTGTGCAAAATTGACTCTGATTGGAGAGGCGACGAATGCTGGCCAAGAAATAGCCCGCCAAAACAATTTAGCTTTCCTCGCCGACACGCTGATTGGACAGCTACGTCCGCACATCCACTCGGGTCTCTGCAAGTCTATCCCACTAAAAACCTCAGTACCGTACAGAAACTCATTAAAAGCTTTACCGGCCAGAAATCTGCTTTGCTCGAAGCTTTTTGAGTCTGCATCATTGACCCTCGACTCCCTGAGTGAATCCATGGCTGGCTGGACATTCCATTCAGTCTGACTGATGAAGCTCAGCACGCTTGGGCGGGTGTCTCTGGAAAATGTTCAAGGCCGTGACTACCAGTATGTCTCAACGTCGAGCCCAGTTTGCCGGCCGCGACGTCGTTCGACATTGATATTCTGAAGTGGGGCCAGGTGGGTTTCACCAGGTGAAAGGTACTATTCTGGTATTTTCTAAGCGCCTGAATGTCTTCGCTGTGCGAGTTTTTCACCTTCTATTTCAGACACGGCAGATCCAGGCATAACAGATTCAGACACTCAGAGTCACTTTTTGTGGCAAATAACCATTTGCATTCAGGCATTTCCCAATGCATCTGACGAGACACCCTCACCTGCGCTCCCGTCACCTCTACGGTTGCGTTTTTCAACTGAAGCACTGATAGTTGCCTTCATTCAAAGAACGCTTTTGAGACGACTCAAAAGTAGACTGCGTTTTTCATCTGAAGATTTGTTAGCTTTCTTCATCACATTCAAAGACGACAACCGACGGTGTCCATGGATTAGTTCGCCGTTCCAGCCCTTGTCATCAGGACCGTCAGTCCCTAGCAGCAGATCGAGTCGCGAGAATACATACAAAGGTTCTTTTTTTTTTTGTGGATCCGAAAATGGCTGACAGAAACCTGTCAGACCTGCCAGTGTACGCGAGAACCGAGCCATCCATTAAAAACCTTCCTAGTATAAGCGAACAGGTCGGTAGCATCATCCGTCCGTACGTCATCCCCTTCGTTATCATCCTCGCTATAGTCATCCCCATCAACCTGGTCTTTCAGTCGACTCCTGGACTGCTCTGCAGCTGCTGGAGCCGCGGCGGAGGCTTCGAGTCGGCATCGTCGCTTCCGTACCAGCCAGCAGCGTCGCTTGCGTACCAGCCGGCAGCGCCTCCTCCGGACCAGCCGGCAGCGTCGCTTGCGTACCAGCCGGCAGCGCCTCCTCCGAACCAGCCGGCAGCGCATCCTCCGGACCAGCCGCCTATCCCCGGATGGGCTCAGGCTCTGTTCCTCGGCATGAGCGGCAATGACGCGGCCATCATTTGCCGTGCAGAGGAGAATTATTGGGTAAGTTTTCGATTTCAAGTCTTTCTTCTTTCCCTCCTTCTGAACCAGCTGCATGTCATTCTTATGAGCTTTCGTTTCCAGCATGAGCGAGCACCACTGACGCGGCTATTGAATGCCGTGCAGAGGAGCATTACTGGGTGAGTTTTCGATTCTGAGACTTCTTTTCTTCGTCTTTCTTGTGTACCAGCAGCTTATCGTGCTCAAAACCAATTTGGTGAAGTGGCTTTCTCGAGTCTCTCCTATCCTTCCGCGTTTCCTGTTTCCCAGCTGTGTTGACGTGTAGGCTATCGCGCTCATGTCCTCCTTTTTTTTAAGTCGAATAATTGAATCTTCTTCTAGCCCTTCACCTCAGCCTCCCCACGCGCAGGAGAACCTATGAGACGGACGGCGTGCAATGGAACGCTGTACCCGCCACCCGCATCGATGGCTGATGTCAGCATGAAGACGGTTGTGCTCGTCCCAGTGCTTTCTAAAATGCCTCAAGAGTTTGTGATATCCCCCTCACTCTCCCCTGCTCCCACCCTCTACAGGAGAACCTTCTGCTGAGACGGGAGGCGTCCAATGGAACGCTTTACCCGCCACCCGCGTCAATGACAAATATCACCATGAAAACGCTCCTTCTCATCCCCACGTACTCTTGCCCGGTGAACGAGCGCATTGGCAAGTGGGGGGACGGCGGAAAGGTGAGTTCTGAGTTGACCGAGGAAATCGCTGCTGCATTCGTTGATGCGTTTACGCTTGAGAAAGAAGCAGCCATAATTGAATCACTTCTGAGAGTACAAAAATGTGCACCCGTGCTCAAATGAACCTTCTGTGTTACAAACCCAGCTAGCTGCAGCTCGAAATCTTCCATTTTTTTCTCTGTTCAATGTTCCACCCAATCTCCCCAATCTCCCTCTACCCACACAAATCACCATTTGCCCAATCCCCTCCTCTTTCCCGAAACGCCAATATCAGTGGACTTGCCTTCTGCCAGGCGCCATTCAGACGGACCCTGTGGTGTACAGGTGAGAGGGGGGAGATGAGGAAATTGAGGAGGTGACGGTTGTCAGGATTGAGAGACGAGACATGGGCAAGTGATGGGGCAGTTGAAGTAGAACAAATAAGTAGAACAGCTCTTCACCTTGTGAGTGAGCAATATTTGAGAATCAAATAGATGTGCGTGTGTGCGCGCAAGCGCGCGAGTGTGCCCAATCACTTGGTAGCCCGGCTCTTCACCTTGTGTGCTCCTCACCACTCCCATCGATCTTTCCTCGTTTGGTGCCCAATCATTCCCCACTACAGCATTGGCAGTTTCGGGCAGTACGATTTTGAAGACGCCATTTACAAGATTTTGCATGTGCAGCCGCACACGTTCGACCCGTTCCTCCACCCCAGCACCGCCGCCCACATGCAGACCGTCCCCTCCCTCATCTTCCACCCCATCGGCCTCTCTGCAAACTCCTCCATCGAGTACAACCGCCAAAAGTTTTCTGGCGCTGAGTTCATGACTCTGGGAGGGATCATGCAGCTGTTGAATCATACATATGTGGACATTTTCAAGATTGACTGCGAGGGGTGTGAGGAGGCGATGATTGCAGAGTTTGGGGAGGCGAATGGGAATGTATCTGCACAACTGAGCTTGCACGGAGGGACGCTGCCGTTCGGGCAGATCTTGATCGAGATTCACCAGTAAGTCTTGATGTATGGTTGTGTGTGGTTCGTGCACTCCAACAGTGAGTTTACGGCAAAAGAAAGAAAGAAAGAAAAAAAAAACGAGAATATGATCCGCCTTCATCACTTAATATTGTTCTCCAAGTGCATGTGCACAGTCAGCCGTGTTTGCACAATGCGACTAGGTAGTTGACAAGGATTGCCGCCCGTTTCTTTGTCCGCATTCATTCTCCCCACACAGTTTCTTCCCTCTCCCTTTCTCAAACCCTCCCTCTACCAGAACGAATAAACCCGTGGTCACCTTGGCACTGGTCTACACGTTGGAGAAGCTTGGGTATCGCATGTTCAGCGTGGAGTTCAACCATGAATGCTGGCATTGCTGTGAGTTGAGCTTGATACACGAGAGCCTCGTGCAGCCAAGTAGCGACAAAAACTGCCCCCCGTCTCTGGCTTCGGAAGAGTTCTTCAAAAAGGAAGCTGCAGATGCGCAGGAAAAGCTGGGTTCAGGAGATGACGTGAAGGAATCAGGTGGAGGAGTCTTAAGTACATCTGACGCTAGCACCCCCGGGCCGTGATGGAGACGTGGCATATTCTGAGTTCTAACGCAGGTGTCAATAGTTGGGAGAGCTGATGAGCCTCTAGAGCTTTTTTCCCTGACAGATTCTTAAGAGAGAGTTGTATACTGAATGTTCCACAGACACTCCCTTATCTGATATATGCATTTCAGGTGGCTTATTTTGTGAAAGCTTGGTACAACCCAATGAAAGGGCTAAATGGAGCTTGGCGTGACCACCATGAAGTTACGGATAGTCCAGCTCTCATAATGTGAACAGCACATAGGTACTATTGTTTGACCTCTAAGTTATTGGGAAGCTATTGTTCTGATGCTTTCGTTCCATCCACCTTCTCATAATATCATTCTAGTCGAACCCTACATCGAAATCAGAGGCGTTTCGCCGAATTCAAGGAAAGCCTGACCAACGGGAAAAGGCGGCGGATGTTCTCCAAGAAAAGCCCGCCAAAACATTCCGATATCTCCACTGACACACACAGGACCTCATTGGATGGCTGCATTCGCGGCCGGCACTTCCATTGCTGACGGAAATGCACATTGGATAGCAAACAACATCCCCTACATTCACTGAAACAGAGGCCGATTCATGAATCCATCGCTGCCTACTGCACATTTCGGTTGCTCCTTTCAGGTAGTCTTAGTTGCGTTTCGTGGCTGCGTTAGTAAGTTCCTTAAATATCTCGTGCTGATATTTGACCTACAGACTTTTTATAACTCGCCGAGTTTACTGGCTTCGGATTCAGGCAAAGCAGATTCTGGCTGGCATAATGAATGCACCCTAGTCTTGCAGCGCATATGCATTCAGACCTTTCCTGGTGAAGCC